GGTTCCTCATCGTCATTCATTGTTGCCATAGACGGAATAACAACAGGTGCTGGCACCACAGTATCTTGCATTGTCGGTGTAGCGGTAGCAGGTAGTGAGAAAAATGGCTCATGAATTATCAGAGTGGGCGCATACACCCGCTTCTCTTCAAGGTCAATTTCTCGAGCTACCATGCTCCCCTCATCATTTCATCCTCTAGGAAGACAGCGTGTCTCGTTTCCATAAACTTTGTATGCCTGTCTGGACAGTAGAAACGAAAACCTTTTGACTTTTCTAGGTAGCCAATGAAATGGAAACTTACTATTTTGGGATCTAGCTTCCCAATGTTTGGGTTAAATACTTTAGCCTCAGCAGGACTCTCCCACACACGTAAGTGGTTTAGTGAGGGTACTCTTCTAGTCCAAAACTCATACGGTGTTTTGGGCACCGACTTACTTGGTACTGTATTGAGAATATAAATGGCAGTTTTTAACGCCTCCATCCACAGGCTTAACGGTAATGTGGAGTAACTTATCATACTGCGCACCATATCCATTAGGGTACGATTGCGTCTTTCAGCTACTTCATTCTACTGAGGTTCACCCGGTGTAGAATACTGGGCTACTATACCATTCTCCTGTAAGAACCTTGCAAAAGGTCCAGGAACTTGGCCATATGGGGTATGCCGACCGTAGTACTCCCCCCACGGTCGGACCTGACTATCTTAATTTTTAAATTGTGTTGGTTTTCAACTTCTGCCTTAAATATCTTAAATTTATCTAATGCTTCTGTTCTTTCTTTGATTGGATAAATGTAGCCATAACAGGAGTAATCATCTATGAATGTTATGAATGAATCATAACCATCCACACTCTTTACAGGAAACGGACTAAAGATGTCTGTGTGAATAATCTGTAAAATTCCTGCGCTTCGTTTGTCATCTTTCTGAATTTTCTTTACATACTTTCCTTTTATGCATTCTCTACATTGTTCTAAATCTGAGAACTCTAATGGAGAAAGAATATTATTCTTAACTAGTCTTTCTATTCTCCCCATCGAAATATGGCCTAAACGACAGTGCCATAATTTCGACGACACATCGTGAGCTCTCTTTTGTTTTCTATTTACATCCGCAGACGAGGATACATTCTCATTGTCGCACGCAACGTTTCCATCATCGCATACAACATTCATATCATCACGTAGTGATAACAAATAAAGCTCATTTTGTAAGATAGCAAGACCAACACATGCATTATTAAATGTTATCTTACATTTGCTATTTCCAAAATGGCAATCATATCCATCATTGTCCAAGCATGAAACACTAATCAAGTTTCTCTGTAAAGAGGGAACATAAAGTACATCTCTAAATAAAAGTGTGAAGCCATCAACAAGCTCTAGAAAAAAGATCGCCAACGACTTCAATATCTGCTCGGACTCCATTTGCAACTTTAACATGTCTTTCTCTTCTTTGCGTAGTCCTCGTCGAACGGAATCTCTGTAAGGAATTAGCAACATAAATAGTTGCACCTGAGTCAATTCACCAAGTAGATTTCGAATACTGTACATATAGGAATTCATTTATGAACGTAATAATGTTCTCATATTTCTTTGACATGATCATCTTTAAGTAATCGGGACATTCTTTCTTATAATGTCCCGTCTTCTTGCAATAGAGACACTGGTCTTTCTCTACTGTGAACTTGTTCTGCTAAGGCTGATTCAGCATGGGACCCTTTCCCTTTGACTTTGAGGAGGAGTTAGTATTATTATTCTTTTTCTTGTTGTCTTTCACATAATTGATAGTACCACCATTGGCAGCTTTTATTCTCTCCTCCTCTTGCACACACATAGCCATGAGCCTCTCTAAGTCCCACTTCTCGGGCGGTATGTTGTAGTTGACAACAAAAGTGTTAAATTTCTTTGGCAAGGAAGCAAAAATTAGATGGATAAGGAACTCTTCCTTAAGAGCCAAATCCATTGGTTTTAGCTTGGATACCAAATTGCTCATCCTTAGTATGTGCTCTCTTATGCCACCATTTTCTAGAGTACCTCTTAGTCACCAGCTGCTTTATTAGCTGGGTAGCATATGTCTTTGAAGAGCTAGTGAACTGACTCTTTATTCTATCGAGGTATTTGATGACTGTGTCACACTCTGGGATTGAGCCCACAATTGCAGACTTAATCGTGTTCTTTATCACAGCCAAACATTTCTTGTTGGCAGTGACCCACTTCCTATGCTCAAGGTCATAGAATATCTTTTGGGATGCAAAATCCCTCTCTCTAGTTGCCCAAGCGGCATCAGCCTCGTTTGTCTCCCTCACCGGTGCCACAGGCTTAGTGGAACATGGTGAGATAACTACCTAGTTCACCTCAGCCAAGATGAAGGCCAGGTCAATCTTTTTCTTTCACTCCATGTAGTTGTCACCTTTGAGAGTGGGGATCTCTTTGATACAACCCATCAAGTTGTATCCGCCTAAAAACACAATTCATATAGAGTGAGAACATAAATAATAACAATAATTGCATGTCTTGAGTCCAACGTTGATCAAAATTAAAACAAACAACTGTTTATACATTAAATCTATATCACCGTTGGACAGAAATAAAAATAATGCATAAAATCATTAAAATTACGATATTGTTATTAACAACGTTGGTCAGAAAATAACAACAACATAATCATGTCAAAATCTCTTTTTCTCCAATTAAATATCACGTTGGTTCAAAATAACTGAAGAATAAACAATTTCTTTAGCAGCGAAATATGAAAAAATTCATTATCTATTTTTCAGAAGCATTAAACTTTTCTCAAATACTCTCTGAAAAATTATCCCGTTGGTTCAAATTTTAACAGAGATATTAAACTAAACAAAAATCATCAAAATCTGCTTCTGAAAATTAAATAAATTCGAAACTTTATTTACTGTTCATTCTGGCCCGTCCTGCAGCAACAGTAACTGGCCCAGCAGAAATAGTGCGCGGCCCGACCGGTGGAGTGCGGCCCACGCAGCCTGCTTCACGCGGCGCGCGCCCGCTGTCCCGCGCCCAGGCCGCAACCTGGGCCTGGGCCGGGAATCTGCTGCCCCGCCTGGGCCTAATGCCGGTCCAGACGATCTCGGCCACTGGTTTCCATCCGACGGCCAGGCGTCAATATCGCGAGATCAAAAACCCCGGACGCGGCTCATCCCCAAAACCCTAGAATCATTTTCTTCGTTCCCTTTCTCTTTCCTCCTCAGCGTCGCAGTCGGAAGAGAGAAGGAGCAGCGCAACAGTGCCGCCGCCGGTCCTCTTTGGCTCCCCCGCAGCCCCATTCACCGGCGAGCGCGTTCACCTGAGGGTGATCGCGCCGCTGTCGAGCGGCGCTTTGGGTGATCCTTTCGCCGACGGTGCAACCTCGAAGACCCGGAGACCCGGCGCGAGCCCGAAGGCCGGCCGATCTAGGGTTACCTCGTCGGCGATCTTCCCGGAGCGAATCCGGTGACGGAGATGGAGGAAGGTCGGTTTCCCCACCCCCTTCTACTTTTTAACTTCCCCTCTTTCTAGGGTGGGGTTTCGGTCTTGCTACCGGCGGCGGTCCAAATCCGGCGAGCCGTCGTCGTTTCTGGAAAATTTTCTAGAAAATAAAACTTTGTTTTGATTCGTTCATCTCCTTCTTTGTGTCTCTTACCCCACGCGCCCATGGCAGCTCGGGGTGGCTTCCTTCCTGCACGCCATCGAAGCGGCGGCGTGGTCTTCTTCCCGCGTGACGGCGGTCTTCTTCCTTAGAGTTAGGGTTACGGTTCTAATTCTATTTCATTTTTCTACCCCGATCTACGATCTACACACTAGGATAACCTGGCTCTGGTACCATTGTTGAATCCTTAGGATCATCTAGGTGTAGATTGGGGATTGATTCATTTCTATTTGGCTTAGAACAACCAACAACATGAACTAGAGAGAGAGAGGGAGAGAGAGGAATAGAAGAAGAACGTGCCGAACCTGACACCGTAGAGGGAGATGATCCAGAAGCCGCCATCTCATTCGTCGGTGAAGTCTGCGCACGGGCAGCGACGTTCGGGGAAGAGGTCAACGAAGTCGGTGGAGCGGGGCGGCGCGGCTGGTGGCTTCCTGTCACTGACTGCGCCCCTCTCTGATCGGGATTAGGCTTTAGGTTTCGGTGGGGAGCTCGGCTCAGGCGAACCTCGTACACAGAGCCGCCGGCCCCCACCTCTATATATAGCGCAGTGTGATAGGGGCCCTCCAGCCATAGTGGGCTGGGCGCCCCCGATCAGGGCGCGGATCAAAGGATCAACAATTCCTATTCCTCTTTGTATGCTTTCTCTGAAATCTTCTGCCGACATGACATGCTCAATTTCAAGGCTCGACCAAAGTTCATTTGTATCCTTCTCTGAAATCTTCTGCCGACGTGTTCAATTCCATCAAGGCTCGACCAAAGTTCAGAACAGCAACGCTCGTGCTTGCGTGATTGGGAAAGCACGGCGCACCGAACCGGCCCTGCTTGCAGATCTTCCGATCGCCAGAGCATGTTCCTTGGCTCTACGTTCCTTGGACTCGTGCGCGGACGCGGCTTCCGTCTGGCGAGATTCCTCAGTTCCTCTCCGCCGTCTCTCCGGCCATGCCTAGCGGTCGTCCGGGTCTCTGGGATGACTTTTCTACGGCTGTGTTCCGACGGCCATGGACATATCACTGGATGCAAGGGGGGAGAGACAGGCGTCATGTCCGGGTCCGGGGCTGGCGCGGGAGTCCACTGCCAGCCACCGTTTCACAAGATCGCGGTTCACGAGCCACACATCAGAAAACAAGCAGCCTAACGAAAACTAGACAGCAGCGCCCAAAACAAGAAAATCATATACGGTATATATATCTATATATATTATGCAACAAAAAACCATGAGATACGAGAGAATGTTATTCAGCCTGCACAGGTTACATCTCGTCCGGGCTATCTTGTGTCCTCAAAAGAATATATAGCTAATTCTAAATGCGACACTACTGTTTCTTCTTTCGCAGCCTCCTCACTTCTTAACCTCCTCGTACTCGGGCTCAGGAGCCTGGTAACCACCACCCTGACATCCTCCTGATTGTGAACCACCTGCACCACCACCAGACATGTGCTCTCCGATCTTTGAGACGGCCTTATTTGCAGCGTCGAGCTTGGCCTTTATCTGCTCAATGTCGTCCGAGGTCATCTCCTTGTGGAGATCAGTGACGGCTGCCTCAATCTCGGACACAACCTCAGCCGGAATCTTGTCCCTGTACTCTCCCAAGCTCTCTTCTCGATGCTGTAGATAGTTGTGTCCGCATTGTTTCTGATGTCGATGAGTGCTTTTCGTTCCTGATCCTTCTGGGCATGCAGCTCGGCCTCCTGAACCATCTTCTAGATGTCGGCCTCAGACAACCCACCGGAGGATCGGATCGTGATGTTCGTCTCCTTTCCTGTGGCCTTATCTTTTGCAGAGAATGTCACGATTCCATTGGCGTCGATATCAAATGTGACCTCGATCTGAGGCATGCCTCTTGGAGCAGGTGGAATGCCAACGAGATCAAATTCACCCAGGAGCTTGTTGTCTGCAGCCATCTCACGCTCACCTTGCAGCACACGGATACCTACTTGGGTTTGATTGTCAGCAGCAGTTGAAAACACCTGCAAAATCAAAACCAAAGATCAGATCAAAGTTGTACTAGTGCAGCATGGATCATAGGATGGTAATCATATCTGGACGCTCAATAAGATTATGTTGATAAGTTGATAAAAAAATCATCCAGATAACAGGTATACCCAAAAAGTTGAATGGTCCGAAAGAATAGAGAAATAACAACTCACCTGGCTTTTCTTTGTAGGAATTGTAGTGTTCCTGTTGATCAACCTGGTGAAGATGCCACCAAGCGTCTCAAGACCAAGTGACAGGGGAGTAACATCAAGGAGAAGAAGCTCCTTAACATCTCCACGGAGAATTCCACCTTGAATGGCAGCACCCATGGCCACAGCTTCATCAGGGTTGACTCCTTTGCTTGGGCTCTTTCCAAAAATTTCAGCGACCACCTCCTGTACTTTTGGAACCCTGGTCATCCCACCAACAAGAAGTACCTCATCCACATCTTTAGTAGATATTCCTGCATCCTTCAAGCAGTTCTTGCATGGATCTCTGGTCCTCTCAATCAGCTGGTGCACAAGAGCCTCAAACTTTGACCTTGTCAGTGTGATATTCAAATGCTTTGCTCCTGAGGCATCAGCTGTTATGAATGGTAGATTGGTTTCAGTCTGAGTGGTTGATGACAGTTCAACTTTTGCCTTCTCAGCAGCTTCACGGAGCCTCTGCAAAGCCAATCTATCCTTTGACAAGTCAATGCCCTCAGTTCGTTTGAAATCACTCACCAAGAACTCTAAAAGAGTATTATCAAAATCTTCACCACCCAAGAAAGTGTCACCATTTGTTGCTTTGACCTGATAATACACAGAACCAAATAAAAAAAGAATGTATTTAATAACATGTATGCATCACAACAGATGAGTTGAAAATTATGAAAAAAATACCTCAAAGACTCCATTTGAGATCTCCAGAATAGAGATATCAAAAGTTCCTCCTCCAAGATCAAAGACTGCTATCAAACCCTCCTTGTTATTCATTCCATAAGACAGAGCAGCGGCTGTCGGTTCATTGATGATCCTTTCAACATCGAGGCCAGGATTGCGACCTGCATCCTTTGTGGCCTGACGCTGCGCGTCATTGAAGTACGCTGGAACAGTTATCACAGACTTGGAGACAGATTTTCCAAGGTAAGATTCTGCTGTCTCCTTCATCTTGGTCAACACAAACACACCCATCTGGCTTGGTGAGTACTGCTTGCCATCTGTTGTTTCAACCCACGCATCACCATTTGGAGCCCTGACAATTTTGCATGGCACCATCTTCGTTTCTTTCTGTGTCTGTGGATCATCAAAGCGGCGTCCGATCAGGCGCTTTGTTCCAAAGAAAGTATTCTGGGGATTTGTTACAGCTTGGCGCTTGGCAGGAGTTCCAACAAGGCGCTCTCCCTTCTGATTAAAAGCAACAGCAGATGGTGTTGTTCTAGCACCTTCGGCATTCTCGATAACTTTTGGATTCTGCAGTCATTTGATTACCAGTTCAGCAAAAGACAACGAGAGAGAAAAAAAATGACCGATAGAATATTTACAGGGACCTGACCTTTCCCTCCATAACAGACACACATGAGTTAGTAGTTCCCAAATCAATTCCAATGACCTCATTTCCAGCTGCTTTTGCACTGAATAACAGTTACACATACAAATTAGAGTAACAGCAATAAGAAGGTTTAGCTCTGTAGTCTGTAGAATTAAGACAGCAAGAGATCACTGTTACCTGAAAGGTCTTGCGAAACTAGCCCATTTTGAGAACAGGCTGGCAGCACATTTTGACTGTAAGCTGGCCCTGAGCTGAGAAAAGTTTGATCGAATACAGTAAGTAGGAGCAAGAAGACAAGCAAGGGAAACAATATTGTCTATGATGATATTCAAAAAATCCCTAAGGTGCAATCCTAGCTGCACTGCCTAAGTAAACAAAACCACACTAATGACATACAGAAAACTTCCATTATACAAATAATTAAAACTGATTACACAATGGTGCACAAAGATAATTTGTTCGTGTTCATGATTAAGCTACCCTTCATGCACAGGAACCACTGAGCCAATGATGCTAGAAATCCTTAGGGCAAGTACATTTGTACAAATGAACCGTATCATAGGAATATAGGATGTATCATGCACTGCTACTAAGAATTTATGACGTGAAGGTGAGAAAAATAGGTCGTTAGTTCACACAGCAATGGTTTCATAAGATAAGTTTTAGAACTATTATTATGAGACTAATTCCACATCATTGTACGAGTTGTAGTTGCCATGGTAGTCACAACATACGTTCCTTTTTCTATGAATGATGAACAAATTAAGGAATTATAGAGTTACTATGAGACAAATTAAAGACATGTAATTCTAGAGGTTGATTGTTGTCATCTAAGAAATACTGATCGCGTTAATGCATGAGAAGCCCTGAAAACAGCACCCAGGCCTTTGTGCATGAAATAATCTACAAACATCTATAACTCTGATAAAGCAAAACCCTACTAGCATATTTCTCTGCGATTTTGTGAAGCCACGTCATCAAACGGGTCCCGCAACTCACTAACCTTCAAGTCACGCAGGCCAAAGCTGTCTCCCCCCAGCCGCCATGGACGATTCCTTTCCAATTCCATCGAGTCAGCTCCTCAGAAGTCAAAACTCGAAGTGACACATACTCCTCGCAATACTGATGCATCAAGTCTGCAACATGCCGCCATCAAGTCTATCTTTAGTGATCGAAGACAAAGAGACGTACGGCTCCACTATCATCTACTGGCCATGTCTGATACTCCAATTCGATCCCTTCGTATCCCATGTCATTGAACCCAAAGACGACACCCTTTTCTCTGTCTGTTCCTACTTATATATGCAGTGCTACGGCAATGACGATCACCTTGCCTCTTGGCTCTCGGCCGATCCCTGCATTCAAGGTGATAGGTCGATGAACAACTGCACATCAGCAATTCAACACATCCTTGGCGGCTACAAACTACATGCAGTTCTGTCTTCGTAGAGATCGCTCCTTTTCTTTCTCTCTATACTCGTGTAGGTGTCATGCTTGGTGTAGTATTTGTTGATATTTCATTCGAGAAGTTATCTTCTGCTGCTACTGATCATGGCTAAGCCATCGATTTCTTATTATTTTTGTTACAGATGAGTGCACAACGTGCTGACACAAGGATATAGACTTCAACTCCAAAGTCAAGATGGGCACATGGCACCGAACGCCTACTTTGATTTTTTTTTCTTCTGTTGATCTACATGGTTATTTGTTTGGAAGTTTGGTTGTGATATATTTATAGTAGATCATTATTCACCCATCCAGCTATGTGGCACAATTTTCCAGGTATGGCTAAAAGACATCATTTGACATGGTTTGATTCACGTCTTTTAGAAATTGTTTATACATATCATACATATCAAATAATGCATATGAATTTGTAGTATCAACCTTACGGTGCTCCATCACCTTGAGAATTTTAGCCTGCAAGCAAAGAAGCTTCTACATCTATGCACATCCCTATTTTCAGTTCAATGCTGCGATTTGCTTTCTACATAATATTGATACTATTAAATTATTCTTCTCTTAGCTTGCAGGATTATCTAATATATTTTAGCATTTTATTTTTCCATTCTCTTTAACTTTTAGCATAACCTTTTGTTCATAGAGAATTTGTCATGAACTGATCTTTACATCCCGCAGCAATGCGCGGGGAACTCAACTAGTTTAGGAGAATAGAGTGCCGCTTCCATGAACACAAAATCATTATGTTGTACTAATCGGCAAAAAAATAAAACAGCACTAATTCTAGCCTAGCGGTAAGGCCGCAATTTCCATCCATCCTTTTCGCATCAAAACCGCAAGCACGTGAGAGAACTCAAACCAATCTACATTAACTATTCAACCGCCAGTACACATCTCTCCTCAAGTTAAGAATCAACCCCAATCCACTGGATTACCAAACAAGCATGAGATGACTAATACTGAATACGAATAAAAACAAGGAGACGAAGGATGCAAGAAGGCGGGGGTTACGGATCCGAGAGGGTGGACGCGAGGTCCCATCACCGCGTGGCGTGGAGGAGCAGCGCCGCCGCCGCCGCCATTGATGGCTAGTAGTCCCCGGCGCGGTAGCGAGATGGGTTTCCGGCTTGAGGGTTTTGGGACAGAGTCGGGGTTTTGGGGGGAAAAATAAAAGGAGGGTGACGAGATCCTCTAACGTACGTACTCGTTTGTATGTGAGAGGGCGTCCAAGCCTCCTGCACCATTGCCGCAGCATCCGACGGACGATATTGTACATCACAGAACTACAGGTGAGGTCACGGCCCAAAATCCCTTCAGCCCATACGCGGACATGGACTACACAAACCACTAACTATGCTCGCGTTCCTTAAAAAAAGAAAAAAGAGAGTTAAATGCAAGGTAGGCCCATGAACGTCTAGGGTGCCACTTAGGCCCATGAACTCTCAAAACATATTTCTGGCACCCTAATTTTGTTTTATTGTGCCGTTTAGGTCCACAAACTCTCAAAATACATTTTTAGCACCCTAATGTGGCCCAAGTGTGTCATTTAGGTCCATAACGGTCCTGGAGCTGCCTTCTAGCCTACATAGCATCGCTAGTGTGGCGCTGACAGTGTTGCTGCGCACGTGAGGAGCGCGTGAGGTGGTTTGGGCCGTAGAAAAAAGCAGGCACATCCTCTTCTTCCTTTCCTTTCATTTCTATCTCTATGGCATACCCAAGTGGCTACATGGCGAGGTCATCGATCGGCAGTGGCACGAACGGGATGGGCCGTATAGCAGCAACTCCATGCGTCCCTGTGCGCGACGACGCGGCGGGGGTGTGTGCATGTGCAGCACACTCACCATGGCCGAGTCCGCCCAAGGTCGTACGTGCAAAGTAGAGCTGATGAGCAATGTGCAGGCTGGAAAGCAACGACTAGGGTCACGGGAGATGAGACCGACGAGCCCTCAAGACCCCACGACTCCGTCTGGTCACCGCTCGCTGGCTCGCTCCATCGCAAGGTGAGTGAGGTTTCGAATCCGCTAGCCACTGCTGCTGAAAGGTCCTTGTTTGATTTCGGTAATTGAGTGACAACCTAGCTGGACTAATTGTGTTTAATGTGAGACACATAGGCAATTAGTCCACACGTATATGTGTGTGAGCAACATATGCCATGGAGGTGAAAATAGTTCGGAGATGTTGCAAAGCTCACACATGTGATGAAGGAGCTCATTGTATATGAGACATGACATTGAGTTATGTGACTAAGGTGGAGAAGATCAAGACAAGACTTGGCTCGACGGACCGGTTGCAAGTGTGAAGGGCAAGTTGAGTGTTGACTTGGTGCCGAAGGACCAAAGCAACGGAGAAGAGCAAGTGAAGTCAAGATCGATGAACCAATACGGTCATATGATGATATGAAGTGGATCATATCATTTGTGATTGGTTGGTGCATGTGTTGCATCAACATTGGAGGAGATGAAATGGAATGTGCAAGACAAAAGTATATTTGTAGGGTATTTCATTTCACCGGTCAAAGATTGTGTAGAGAAGTACATGATCGAGTTTAGGATAGATGGCCATACTATTAAGAGGAGCAAACTTGTTTGCATATCGGTCATCTAGTACCACTTGAGCGATCTGACTTTGTATATGTGTTAGGATCAAGTGGCATTATGAAAAGAGTGCTAATCCTTTGGGAAATGTTTGTGAAAAGCTAACACACATGCACAAGGTGGTGTTCACTTGGTGGTGTTACAATATTTGCAAAGGTGTTAGAAAAGGCGAAGAAGAGGAGGCAAAACCAGGCTCGAAGTGCTACCTAGGTGGCACCGCCACCCCTAGGGTGGTGCCCACCTGGAGGCCAAGAGGGAGGAGTTGGCTGGTGCCCTGGGGGGCACTGCCACTGCCTGTCCTGTGGCACCGCCACCCCTAGGATGGTGCCCACTAGACCGAGGTTGAGAGCAGCAGTGGGTGACTTGGTTATCGCCATGTCCGGCGTGCACCGCCATGTGGAGGGCGGTGGTACCGCCAGGGGATATCCGGTGCACCATCCCTTTTTAGCCAAGAGCGAGGGAGCAGGGCTTGGTCACCGCCTAGCCACCGTCGTGCCTAGGGCGATGCACCGCCCTGTTTTTCCCTAGGGCAAGGGTTTTGCGTAGTTGGCCAGGGGGTCACCGTCACCCCTATGGTGGTGCACCGCCCCTAGCTATCCGGTGACCAACGGCTCAAAATTCGACCATTGGGGAGGGCACCGCCGTGGCCGGTGCCCTTGCAAAAACTAGTAGCTTTGCTCCAATGGCTCTATTTGGCTTGGGGTTATAAATAGAGGTGGAGCTCGGGCTTGGGCTGGTTGCTGAGCACCCTTAAGCGTTGGTGGCTTGTGTATGTGTGCTTGGATGCCCTCTAACTCACTTGTGCTTGCAAGAGTGCGATCCGATTACAAGTGAGTGTGATTCTAGTGTGTTGCGTCGTGAGGTTGCATCAAGTGGCACTAGGTGATCGAGTTGCAAGCCGATGGTGCTAGTTACTCTTGAAGGTTGCCACCTCCTAGATGGCTTGGTGGCTTACGATTTCATTGAAGCATGTGAGAAGATTGTGCGGTGCTCCCGAGGAGGATTTGTGAGGGGGATTGTGCTCACCCCTCGGGGATAGTGAAGAGCAACTCTAGTCGAGCATGTCATTGAGCTACCCTCACTTGGCTTGTGAGGTTCTTGCGGTGTCCAACATGTGGATGAGGTTCATGCAACACCTCTTAGCCGCCGAACCACCAAGTGAGCGGTCAACACAATAGGGACATAGCTTGGTGGCAACCAAGTGAACCTCGGGAGAAAATCATCGTGTCAACCTTGTCTTCCTGTTGGTTTGCATCCCCGTTACACAAGCTTGTATTTACTTTCACATACATTGTGCTTGTGTAGTTGCTCTTGTAATTAGTTGGCTTGTGTAGCTTGCTAGTTACCTTCTTGCTTGTGTAGCTAGAAGTAGCTCCCTGTTGCGTGACTATTTTGGTTTGTGTAACCTTATTAGTCACATTGCTTAGTTTGTGTAGCTAAGTAATTTGCGCTCTCTAATTTGGCATTGGTTGCCTTGTTTTTGAGCATTGCTAGTGAGCTTAGGAGCTTTGTGCTTTTGCTTACTAGTTGTGTAGGAGCTCCCTAGTGTGCAAAGTACTAGTGACATAGGTTTGTGTGACCTTGCTCTTAGAATTAGTTTGGTGAGCTCTTGCTAGGCCGGCACCTTATTTGCTTGTTTATGATCTTTTATAAGGTGCTAGTGAACATAGATAGAGGGGTGCAGTCTTGGCTAGACCGATAGTTTTATTTTCGCATTTATTTCGGTTAGCCAACATGTTTAATTTTAGAGAGGACTATTCACCCCCCCTCTAGTCCGCCCTCTCGACCCTACACGTGGTATCAGAGCTTGGTCTCTCATTTGTAGTCTTCACCGACCCAAGAGGATGGTGAACTATGGGCTAGATGTTGAGTGTCCACACATATTTGATGGCACACACTTTGCACGTTGGAGAAATTGGATGACTTGTAATTTTAAGTTTATTTCTCCTCAAATGTGGTGGATCGTAGATGTGGGCTTTTCTTATGCGATTGATAAAAAGGATGCAACTCAAGC